GAATCAAACCCGTCTACTACAAGTCCTTGGTACTACCGAGTCAAGAAAAACTTGTCGTATCGATACCCGGTTGGAATCCACTTTCACTACACGCCTTTGCAGTAACATTTTATTACCGATACCCTGTACCTCCGGAATAGACCAAGTACAAAGAAGAGATCATACACCAATTGATTTGTCCGTAATTCATGTCCCGGTTCGAATCAAACTCGTCTACTACAAGCCCTTGGTACTACCGAGTCAAAAAAACTTGTCGTATCGATACCCAGTTCGAATCCTCTTTCAGTACATACCTTTTCAGTAACATTTTATTACTGATACCCGGTTCGAAACCCCCAATATCGCATACACCATTATAACGTCAGTATTATCAGCACCCCTGTATTATCAACACTCTCAAGGTCAACAGTTCAACTCTACTATCATCCACACTGATACCTCATCCTTCGAACGTTGCCTGCAAATAGTCCACACACCGTATGCTGCCAATACAAATCAAGTCCCGGTTCAAATCCTACATATTCTTTGTACTACTGATTCTAGAAAAACTATCTTACAGATACCCAGTTCAAAACCCCTCACCATTACACACATCATTATAGCCCTTGTATCATTAACTCCATCAAGGTCAACAACTCAACTCTACTAAGTTCAACACTCGCACACCATCCATACTTCGTACACCATCCATACTTCGAATGATGCCTGGAAATATTTCGTACACCGTACGCTGCCAACACACTACTTGCCCTTGTAATTACCAATTTCACGAAAACTGTCGTGCTGATACCTGGTTCGAAACCCCTGTTCGACATCACTTCACCCCATACCCTCATTCCCCTAAATCGGGGTAGAAATCAAAGACCCCTTACTCGTTGCTTGATCCCATCTGGTTAACAACGGAATCGAGTCCCCCCAAATTCCTCCAAATTTCCTGCTAAAGCTCACCAGTGCCCTGTCAAAAACTGAATCAGGATATTGCAAACCCTCAGCTCACATTTTAAAGTCAGCAGCAGTGAAAACGAAAACTTTGGTTGACTTGAATTTAATCTAGCACGATGAAAAAAGGATGACACCACCGCAAACTTTTGTTGTCTGTTACAAAGCGACACGTAGTCCTGAATATTCTGAAACATCAAGCGCTCCCCGACATGCACATTCATCTGGTTCTTGATACTTGGTACACAGACTATACCGGATTCATTTTTGCTTACTCCCGAGATACAGCCCTGATAATTCCACAGGCTGCTCACGTCAGTTCTTTCCAACACCAGATTGTTATCGTAACATTCGAAGAATCTTGCCAATAATGTCGCTGACTCTTTCTCATTCAACCCATTTCGCTTTATGACCACAAACACCGAGACGTCATCGACAAGACGAAAGCCCCGAAACCATCTCCTATCAATGCCCAAACTTGATAAAAACAGAAACTCATTATATGCGCACAACAAGCAAGCTACAGCAGGGCTAGTAGACTTTCCCATAGGGATACCAACAGATTGACGAAGGATAGCTCCACGTGCAGACTCTGAGACAAAAGTGTGATCAAGTTCAAACTTAATAAAAAAAAAAATTAAGTCAAACGGGACCCGACGCCATCCAATCTCAGTGCATCCTTTTGCCAGCTTCGCCCCTTGCCTTGCTTAGCAACAGAGACCCCTTTGATTCCCTTATCTTGCCAATAATCAATCACTCACGCCAGTGCATCCAGGATAGACTGATGAGGTAGATGAGAAAACATTTCTTTAACATCGAGTGAAGCATCAATCACGCGGTCACCCTTTCCTAACTCCCCATTAATTAACTGAACTTCTTTCACCAAACCATCAGCACTCCGCAGATTGAGATTACTCCCCATAACATGCAGTTAACCATCCTAGAAATAATTCGCCCACCCCTCGACGAACATTCCATGTACGATGGGCAGATCGGTCGCCATTTCACAACATCCTTATGCTTGGGTATACAATAAGAGCAATCGATATCACTGTTCGTCTTCCACCTACTGACCTTCTGCAGTCCCTTACTCCGATATTCCTCGAAACTCCTCTCCAATGTCTCCTTCTTCCCATCTGTTATCAACTGGAAAGCCGGATTCGCAAGAAATAACTTCTGCATGCCTTCCTCATAAATTACTGGACAAAAAACATACGTATCACCTTGGTTATGATCAATTGGCGCACATACAAGGCCCTTCAGATAAGGTAACCACATAGTCAAATCGTCGACGCAGATCGCACACCCATTACCAACCACCTCATCACCACTTCGCAAAAAACATTTTGAGACTATCTTATTGGACAGCAGATCAGGGTCTAACGCAGGAATAGATCGATGCGACGCAAAGGCTTCAAAATTTTGGGATCGCATAGCAGAAAAGGCATACCTTCTACTAGGGCGAATAATATTTTTAGAATTATGCATCCAAGAAGGAAACAGATCCACATCATTGATATGAAATGCCACGTGTCTGTCATGCCTAGGGAGGGAGAGATCACAGTCACAACACGTGCATACCACAGTCGCCTCCTTAGCAGATATCCGATAGTTATGAATGTAATCCCCAATGTTTTTGTTACGACACCATACTACTCTTAATCGCCTAGTGAGCATCACCTTCCACCCATCAGACACATCCAATGAAGCAATAATAATCGCACAAGCTTGCCGAACCCTTGCTTTTGAAATCGAATCGTCGTACACCACCTTGCATATCAACCTCCTTCTTACGTGCAAACCAAATCTTGAGAAGATTGTACTGGACAGCAAACACCGAAGTAGGAATCGCGAGCGTTTCTCACTAAACGTCCTCACAACCGTGTATGCAGCAAGCAGCTCATCCAAACCCCAAATCCTCAACTGTATCCGACTACGAGGATAACTTAGAAGTTCCACAAGCGGGGGCTTCAGAGCTAGAGATCTACTCAAAAACGGCACAACAACATCAAATGTGAGAGTAAAATTAGTAAATTACCTTGCAACCAACTTCTAGCGTGACGAAGTTTCATACGACCCAGCGAACAGAAAACCAGGCTTCCCCCATATAGCCGTTTCAAAACCTTCCATCGGTCCACAGTCCTCACCCCTCCCACACAAACCACCACTACACAATGTATGCAATGCACACGACAATAATCAAGAATCTTGAGAATGCTATTAGTTACAATACCAACATTGGAGTGAAACTCAACCAGCGCACCCGCCCGTCTTACACCAACACTATCAACACAATCCTTGATTCCTTGGTACTCGATTGTTTGCTCCTCAGTCTCTCACGCAATCCAAGTCGCTTCCTCCTCGTGCGCCTCGGTTTATCCCTTGTATTCAGCACAGGTGACAACAAGCGAATAAAAAACTTCTCCGTATCGAGCAAATCATCCGGATGACACCTACATAATGGCACAATAGCGTAAGTGCCCACCCCGCAGCGTTGTAGCTATTAATACAGCTTCTCATTTCTCCCTCTCTTATCATTTCCGACTGTCTGACATGCCCTATATACATGCTCTTTCCATCGGACATACAAATCTCGGCTCGTACTACCCACGTATATATGCCTACTTCATGGTGATACCAAAGCATAAACAACTGGTCCATTCCACCACTCATACCCATCGGTCAAGTTCAGAAACGTATCGAGAATGAAAGTACGTAGCTTAGAACCCCACGAAATCCAATCTCCAATAATTAACCCGCAAATAGCAAGACTAAAAATCGAGCATACTGCACTATTCCTCAATAGATCAATAAAGAAAGTCCGTGCCTTACAATAGAAGCGAACTAAATCCCACGACAAAGCCGTGCTCGGGAAGGATACTAAGAAGCGGCCGAGTCATCCCGATCCCCGGTTGTAGCACAACCCGCAACATCGTTCGAAATCGACATAGTGACAGCCTCCTTCCCTTTCTTACCTCTTCCACCGTCGTCGTCAAATACCTTAGCCGCTCTTGCTTGCACGATCGCTTCTTTCGTCAGATCCAGTGTAGTGTACTCAACTCCTTCTTGCTCACAAACCTTCATCACAAACTCCTTATTCCTGGCCCGCAGATCCTTCCGATTAGCACGAACAAAAGCATGACGATCAACCAAATTGGATACCACATTCGGTTCCTTGTCCTTATTCTTGCGCAGAGACGTTCCCACATCGTTATTGACAACTCCATTCTCCTTATCCTTATTAGTTGCCGCATCATCCAGACGTGTCTTAAGATTGGTTCCACGTGACGTAGTTCTTCTTTCCATTTCCAATCGCGCCAATGATTCTTTTAATCTCTCCACCTCGAGTTCCGATTCCTTGCGCGCATTCATCTCATTGATGGGCAGAGTTTGCAGGCTTTTTGCAGCGCCTCGACCTCCATTTGGTGACGTTCGACGATACCCTTCAAATCGACCTCCATGCCGCCTCGGTGTCTCAACATGCACTTTGGGTGATTCGCTCCCTCCAATCCGGGTTCGAACACGAGCTTGCGTTGATGGTGTAGCGCCCACCGCGATGCTCCCACGTTTGTTACCGGGACGCAGAGCCTCCGCCTTCCATCACTCAGCAGCAGCTTCAGCTTCCTCACACTGCCTTTGCAGTGTCATCACAACGTCTTCCAGTGCGGACAATCGTTTCCCAGCATCCGCCTTCATTTCTCCTTGCTCTCGTCGAATACGTGCCAGCTCATCAATCGCAGCATCATGCGCATGCTTGTCCGTAGAAGTGCCTGCACCCGCTAATCGTTGTTGCAGTCCCTCAACGGTGGCCTTCAACTGCTCTACATCACCTGGTTCAGTCCGCTTCTTTCCATCGATGGCCGAGTACACTTTATTTAAACTCTCGGCAAGCTTCTGCTTAATCGAATGCTGGAACTCATCACGTTCTTTCTTTTCCCGCATCAGCCTATCGTCTTCTTCCTGCTTTCGTTTCATTCTCTCCTCTTCTTCTTTCCATGCTTTCTCCTTTGCTTCTTCCGCCTCATGTCTCTGACTAATCTTCGCCACACGTTCCTCAAGAGTATACGCCCGCTTGCCTAACCAGCCGCCACCATTCGATTGACCAGAGTAGGCCAGGGCAGGAGCAACAGTCCCGACACCGGAGTTGTTGTTAGGAGGGAGGGTAAGAAGCGGAGTAGGAGCAGCACCAGGAGCACCCTGATTACCGTTCAATCTCCTATCCGGATACGGACAAAATCGAGATATATGTCCACGTTCCCAGCAGTTGTAGCAAGACCTAGACTCAACATTAGACTCAACACAGCCGGAAAAAAAAAACAAAAAAAAACAAGACCGCCACATGCCGGACTGGACTGCAGTTGCAAACTCGGCCTTGTGAGTTTTGTGCATGTCAAGAGTTTCGACAGCAGTTGAAACTCGGGACCGTACTGGACTCCAAAGAGGCAGTTCGAAATGCATTTACAAACTGCTTTCGTGACTGCCCCCTAGTTACCCCTTAAAAAAAAAACAACCCCCAGGCCTGTCCCTCCACTGCCTCCGCCGAGAGGAGCCCCCTTCACCTCACCAGCCCCAGTTCAGAACAGCCCCCTAAACCGACACCCCTACTCCCTCAGCGACATGCAATTTCCCCAAGAGCATGCCCCCACAGAGCTGAAGTTCCCCCTCTCCCCCCTGTCCTACTCCCTCCAAGTAAGACAGCCCACCCCAACACTCACCCTGGTGAAACAGCAGCAAAAACTCTTTGTCCCCTCTGCCCCAACCGCCGGGCTGATCCAGCCCTAAATCAGCCCAGCTCCAGAGGAGGCAAACTCTCCATACCGCACCACCCCTCAAAAGCACTGCACCTCCCATCTTGTGCAGTCCTCACAGGGTGGAGCTCCAACTCCAGAGGGAACATTCCTAATCAGTGACTATGAGCACCCCCTAGCACCATTACAATGCCAACAAAACACAGTTGTGAACCAAAGGTTCGGAAGGCTCTTCTGAAAGACGTGCTCGATATAAAAAAAAAAAAGAAAAAAAGATGTGCTCGATTTTCCATTTTCCAAAATACTACATAGTGGGTCCACTGACCAGATGCAGATGAGTAAACACTAACTGAACTCTTGTGAAAAGAGTAGGGGCGGCACCGAGATAAGTTTGGAGAGCCCTCAGATCAGCCCTGATCACAGTCGTGGACAAGCCCACACATCCAAAATAGTCGCCAGCAGCTTTGGGGGGAAAAATCTCCGTTACCGCCGGCCGACGAGGCTCGACCGGAAGGCATACGGGCAACCACATCGCGTCGTAGAAGGTGACCGCCATGGTGAAACCCTGAAACGAGGCGGGGTCATAGGATATCCTCCCTCCTCCTCGTCCCCACCTACGGGTGACGAGTTGTGCTTATCAAACTCGAGCACGAGAGGAGAGACACAGTGCAGTGAGCGTCATAAGCTGACCGTGCCTGCGAAGGAGGTAAGAGATCCGGAGCAGGTTGACCGAGAGACGGAAAGCTGACCAGTATACCTGACATACCGAAGTGGCGCAAAAACACTGCTCAAGTCAAAACAAGGAAGCCCATCATCCAGAATTGCTGCCATGGACAACCTGCCACTGGAGGTTGCAGATGGGCTGAGCCGTGAACATATACTGGAGGGGGCTTCGTGCGGTAGGTTCTGCATGACAATGGACGCCATCAACTCGCTGTGGAACTCGACCTCTCCTCCGACGGAAATTTTCAGGAAGGGATGCTTGCCTTTCGGATTCACATATTCTTTGTCTCTGCAGTAGACGGCTTCTCTTTCTCCTCGGCCGAATTGCATAACCGCCTCCGTGGCTGGTGGAAATCTCTACGGCTCGTGCCCATGTCCTACCATGACACCGATGTACGCGACAAAAGTGGGATTAGGGTTGGGCTTCCCCACAGAAGGATGAAACACAGACTATCTCTCGTGTGCTGGGGCGAGGGACAATCACGGATGGTCAAGGGGAAGATGGACAGGGCAAGTAACTAGGGTTGTTTGTGTTTGCTTCGTAAAAGGGAGGTCAGTCAATCCCCTCCTGGAGAGGGTAATCAATGTTGCCTCCTGCTGTGTACCCATTTGATGGGTTCTTGAAAACCTGGCTCCTGGTGCATGTCATTAAAGGGACGCTGGACCCCGTTTCCAGCAGGTGCAGCTCCCCACCAATAGACTGGAGCCATCTACCCTGCGAGGCCTGCTAGAGGAGGATGCTCTTACCAACTCCTGCTAACATGTGCTCTCACGCCAATTATGTTTCTTCCAAAAACCAAAAAAAAAAAGTCTTCTTTTTTGCAGTGGAGCCCCGATTTCAGTCGGGGAAATCTCCAAACTAATCTGTGGAGCAGAAGCCTTAGTGTGAATGTAGTCTAAGAGTCTGAGCATGCAAGCTGGACATTGGACCTGGTTTCCAGCACATGCTCCTCCTCACAAAGAAACTGAAACCAGCCATAAGGCACAGCCATTGGCTGAGTTAAATTAGATAATAAAAGACCCAAAAAAAACGAATAGATTGGAGCCATCTGCTGGGATGAGCACTACGTTGGGAGGGGGCTTACACCTCCCCCCAAAGGGAGAGCCTCCAAATAATGATAGTGCCAGCTCCGAATGTGGCAGCAGGGTAAAAAAAAAAAAAAGTGGCAGCAGGGTGCCCTTTTCTTTGTTTTTTCCCCTCTTTTGGGCTACCCCCAATTGGCATATAGGTTGCCTATGAGAGGGTCATTTCGGTCTCTGCCAGAGGGCTGATGATGAGCAGATCAGTAGATTGCTTTGTGACATGTGGTGGAACAGGAGCAGGGTTATTGTTTCTTCTTCTTGAGCGCCGCGCGCGCGCGCGCGCACGAGAGAGAGACAGAGAGAGAGAGAGAGAGAGAGAGAGAGAGGAGGAGGGGCTGGAATGCAGCTCAGCTGGCGGAAACTGTACACAGGAAACCTTCTGGGACTCCACCGCTGCGGCCAGCGTCTTGGACATAAACAGTGGCAGTGTTTTAAGACTGCCACAACGTGCTGCTATTGGGTGCTGTTTCACGCCACTCTTTCTGGGTGAGTGCGAACTTGGGAGTAGGGGGGCGGGGTGGGGGGAGGCACCCTCAATTGGAAACATTGGAGAAGTAAATGAAAAAAAGGAGAACACAAAGAGAACTGTCCGCTGCCTGTGCAACCTCGCGAGAGAAGGCAAGTTATTTTCCCTTTGCGGTAGTTTGGCCCAGTGTTTTCCTTCAAGGGAAAGCCCGTCCCTTGTGCAGCATCCTTCGTTTTTTTTTTTTTTTTTTTTTTTTTTTTTGAAAGAGCAACCTGAGTGGATGCTAGAGGTGCTGGGGTATGAGCAGGCACCACGGTAGCATTCTCGGGGAAGGCTCCATCTATTGGTGGGGAGCAGCACCTGCTGGAAAGCGGGTCCAACCTCCCTGAACATTATAGCTGTTCGTTTGATCAGACATAAATTTGTGGTGACAGTCAGCTGCAGGGCTCACCTACAAAGTACCGAAAAAAGAAAGTATAACTACCAAATTGCTTGAGTTTCTTGCCTGCCTGACAACCTGCATTAAACCTTAATTGAGTGGTCATGGACACAGATCATATGTCTACTGCTGTGGGAGTTGGAGGCAGACAAGTAGCGAACTGCTTCTCCCCAATCCTCGTCAGGTGACCCTTCCTATTCTATGTTGAAGTCTTGTAGTATCTCTTAAAGTTGGCTCCGTGGCCCTGTTGGCGGGCTTGTGATGAACTAGCTTCTGTAATGCGCGACTTTCGGCGCGAAGTGCTAAGCGGGGTCCCACGTCCATTGGACGGGTTGATGGAAAATTACATGTGTGTCCTTGCTTTCTTCGTTGTTTCTTCGCTCGCGCACGAGCCCCTGATGACAGTTGGGGACATTTTGGGAATACCAGGGGAAAAGGGGGCAAAACTTGGTCGGATGCGGAGTGCGCGCCGAGTAATCGATTAATAAATGTTGACATCTCTTCTTTTCTTTCGTTTCCCTTCTCTTAATTTTGTTTTATCGGAATTTTGGGCGCGCAGACATCGCGCGGGAATTTCGGTGTCTCTTTTTGAATTTCTTTCTTGAATTTTCTTTTCGAATCTTGGTCGGAGCCATACGGCCTTCGGAATTTTGATTTTCTTTTCGGACCTCTTCGGCAGGCTAGCTAGGAATTCAGGAATTTTGGAATTTCTGTGTTTCTGGGGCGCTGCTCTGCATGCTCGCGCGCTCTTTCCTGCTGCTGCACCAGAACCTTGATTAATTGGCGCCTTAATCCTTTTGCAACTGTAATTTTTGGCGCACACTTTTGTAACTGTATCCTTCTGTTTCTTGCTTCTTCTTCTTCTCGCCTCGTTTCTTCCTCTCCCCCCCCCCTTGCCTACATTGAGTAGCCGCGTTTGCATGTCCGGATCGATGCGTGGAGTGGGTACGTCCCCCACGCCGCGGCCCGACCATTGAAACGCAGGCACTCCCTTTCCCCCATCTATCCACGTCCTTGTAATTCCGTGTTCTTCGCGCATGCATGCACGCTATAAATTCCGGCTGCGCGATTAACTTGCTCTCTTAACTATTGCTGGAAGCTCGGGGTTGCGCGATGACGGACTGTCGGCACACGAGCGAAGTAAGAGGTGAGTGAAGTGGGAGTCGGGTGACCCGACGAGCTGGTGCCGAATGCACGGGGTTGACGCGGGCCACGACGGACTGTGGGCGTGGAGGGAACCTGACGGGCGCAGGAGGACTAAGCGGGGTGACGACTTCGTGGGTTGGTGCGCGACGACAGACTGTCGGCATCGGAGAGTGAGAGAGAAAGGGAGTTGAGGTTGAGTTGGGCATGGATTTGCATCTTTCCTTTTCGTTCCTTTTTCATCTGTGTATATAAATTTTGGTGTTTGTCTTTTGTTTCGACTTGGTTTTCTCTCAATGTTTTCCGTTTTGATTTCTTTCTCGGACTTTCTTTTCGCGAAATGATGTATGGATAACCCGCGCACATCTTGCACTTCGTTTTTGATTGACGTCCCGGACTTATGAAATCGGATGGGAATGGAGATGGCATGTTGGCATGATCGATTGGATGTCTGTCGTCTCACAATGATAGTCTGACAAGCATGACCTGACGTATCGTATGCACGCATGTAAGCACGATCCGAACGGAGTGCGGCTTACACGCGTCCGGACCACCCGGACCCATAGTTTGTGTCCTATCTGTCGCACAAGGTAAGCCCTTCGCCAGACTGGGAGTTGATATCCACAGGATCGGGTTAACCATCGCCCGCAAGTGCGCGTAAGTGCGACTCATTCGCGTCTTTCTTACGCACTTGCGGACGGTGATTTCCCCAAACAGCTTGTCCCCTAGGGTGTGTAGGATGAAAGAATGACGAGCTCGCGAAACTCCGACGTATTTTGGAATTCCGAGGATTTCGGCGCGTATTTCGGATATCGGGAACTCTGGGAAGAAGAACAACGTCGGTTACGAGGAAATCTGAGCAACCCGAAATT